TCTTTTTAAGAAATGTGGATTTTTTCAAGAGAAATCAGACGGCCTATTCTTTTTTGCCTTAAGTGGGTCCAGAAATTCCCGAGCCAGCAGATGTATGGTCGGGGGAGTCCGTCTGTGGAGTCCGCCAACGGTATGCCATTTTTGGGAAGTATTTTTCTAATTGCATGCTCGACTCATGTTATCAAGACCGTTCGGCTTGACCGTCTGTGTTTCAGGCAGCCATAGTGATGTGTAACGGATGCTAGAACCTATAGCCAAGGACATGCCTTGCACGGGCTTTGCCATAACTCGTAGTTTCGCCCTCGCTCCAGAGGGCAGTGACGTCACGGCTGCCGAGACTTCAACGCGGCGCGGCCGCTAGCCGCGGGGCGCAACGCTGCGAGGCAGTGGGCGCATCGGAAATTTCCGTGCATGAGATAGCGAACAAACTATAAGGTGGAGGTGCATATGACCAGCGAGCCGATTACGGAGAACAGAACGGTGTGCTGTGCAAGCCTATGCGCCTAGCCATTGCGATGCAGTGGCATGAGAAGTGGATACATACACACGGGAATTATGCGAGTTAAGACGGCTGGAACATCACGCCCTCTTCATATTACTAATTAACAGGCTGTTAACGAGGGATATTGATGACTAGCAAGCCAATCATGAGAATTTAGCGTCGAATGTGGTGTACTTTGTAGGCTTATGTGGCCGACCATCACAATGACATTGACGTGGAAATTAAACGCGCTTACGGGAGAACTGCTGCAGAAATGGGCGGCCGGGACTTCGGACCGCCTTCATATCGACAATGAATAAACTGTAAGGTTAGGTGTACATAACTAGGTGCCGAATGCGTAGAAGTTAATGGGGGGCATGCTGATGCGCTGATGGCAAATGTACATATTTAGCGGTTAATATTCAATGGGCGTGAAAACGACAATGTGCACACGCGAACTGCTGGAGATGGGCAGCCTAAACACTGGGCCCGTCTAACCAGTGAAAATCAGATGATAAATCATAGGTGGATGTATCTGCGAACCGCTTAAGTATAGCTGAATGGCAAACATAATCATGCGCTTAGCAAGCTTCTACTCAGTAAAGCCGTTAGAATTCAATGAGCGTGGGAAGTAAATAGCGTACGCAGGGGCATGGGCACAATGCCAGGAATGCGCCTCTCAACTTCCTTAACATTTAGCGTTGTTGGTGTTGACTATGAAGATTAAGTCAAAATGGCTATTTCCCCTCCCCGAACATAGATCATCCGTTGCCCCTGCACCTATGCGGGAACCTACCAGCATCTTACGCTGGGCGCTGATCGTATATATGTTTTCTTGTGAGGTTAGGTGGCACAGTGAGCTGGGAGTGTTACACAGTCACAGGGGTCACAGTTACACTGTCACAGTGTTATGGGGAGATGCACTGAACCAGAGAATGTTACCTTTTGTTCCGAGGCACAAGTGTTACCAGAGGACGACTGAACAGATGGCGGCTGGCGCCCCCCAAAAAACAAAACAAAAAAACATAAACCAGGTTTACACGGATTTGCGTGCTGCCTGCATGACAGTACGTACACATAAATGGGCCGATTGGTCACGGCCAAAGAAACTATGTTTAGGGTTGGAGCAAAATCGATTACTGCAGCGCACTGGCACTCGTCTGAAACGCACAGAGATTCGTCAGCTGTGCATTTGACATTGTTTCGGTTGAAAAGATCGGTATTATAGATGCATGTCGTGCTCCGCACTCCGGTTTGGCCGTCTATAATTCTACCTACATGCCACTTTGGCGCTAAACCTAGGAACGCACTTGAATGTCTTAAGAACGCAACATATGTTACTCAACACTCATGGAGACCATGCAGATAGGTCGGTATCGAGCGTTATCAGCCGGCGCACAGGTACGTATCGAGCACGGCCGCACCGCAGACAAGTAAAGATCAAACACGGCGGAATGCAGACAGGTACAGACCGACCACGGCCGCACCGCAGACAAGTATAGACCAAACACGCCGGACCGCAGACAGGTACAGACCGAGCACGGCCGGACCGCAGACAGGTGCAGACCGTTCACGGCCGGACCACAGACAGGTACAGACCGAGCACGGCCGGACCGCAGACAGGTGTAGACCGAGCACAGCGGCTTGGCATACAGGCACGGACCAAGCACTGCGTTATGTAAATATTATAGGTACGTCCCGAACACGGCAACTACGTGGATAAGTACAGAACGAGTACGGACGAGCCGGCCCCGCAGACAGGCGCAGTCCGAGTTCGTTGACTGTGCTGACGGGTGCAGAAAACCATGAAGCCTCTTGTCTGTTATCTTGAACAACCCTGTAAAATACAATTAAAAAGGCGGTGGAAAATCTCACTCACTCGTTCTAACTAATTCGCTGGCAATGCGTCTGGTGCATCTAGCTCAAAACAGAGAGCAGACAACAGACACGCCACGTTCTCCACTCACTCACACCATCGGTGGCGGGATGACCGCAGAGTGCGAGGGCATATAAGGTCGAAGTGCATTGTGATTGCCGCCACGTACATCATGGTACTCGTCGCTGAATTGTACGCGGTCGGCTCACCGGTCACATACATCTGCTACCAACAGTTTGTTTGTTATGAGTTCCGAGAGAGCCTGGTGCTCCTGTCACCCTACGGCGAATGTAGTCTTGTGAGCACGTCTTCACTTATCATGTCGTTGCATTTCAATGATGTGTTGCATAGGTTGACCTTTTCAGTGTTTAGTCTATTTTTTTGACATTCCGGTTGCCCATCAGCACTAGGCCCGGCGTCCAGCGGCTCGCCATGCATTAAAGCCTCGGCACCATTGACGTCACGATAAGGTTAAGCGAAGATGAAGCGACAGTAACCAACGGTTTTACGTTTTTTTATACGACCTTGCTTCTGGCCAGATCATTGCCAGTCCCCCCAGCGGTTTAGAGCAAGGCGCCAAAACAGACGTTCAGAGCTTGTTTTGTTGCCCGTGAGTTGCAGGCAGGTCCATTGGGGCCTACGGGGTCATGTCCTCTGCTCGCACCCTACTTTGGGCCGTGCCGGTCCCGCCGTCGGCTCGCGCGGTGCCCACCAGTCAACTCTACTTCTCTTATGCACATTTCGAGACCGACCAGGGAGGGCGCGATGGCGCGCTTATCTCTCGAACGTTTTTGCTGCAGGAGCCGTGGCGTTTGTGGATCAGAGGCTCGAGGCTTACCTCGAGCTACCGACAACAGTCGTCAAGCTCAGCTATTTTGTCAAGTCATGCGCGCTGCATTTGTTCGTGATTTTTGTCGCCATTTGCGGTGGTCTTTGCCGAGTCATGCAAATGTGCATTTCAACGCATAAACGGGGTGGCTGGTAGAGTGGCAGACGGCACTAACCGATCAGCATATCAGTGCGTCGTTGCGATTTTCAGCGGTGCATAGCTCTTCAGCCCTGGCTTGTGCCGCATTTACCTACAGTTGTGAGTCGCTAGACCCGGATCTGGCCGTCGCTGCTGCTGTGGGGCGCGGCAGTCTCCCACCGCGTCATCCACTGCGTGGATCTGGGCCTGCTGCGCAGTATGCGTTACCCTGCAACGTCCACACCTGGCGGCTCTCACTAGTAGTGCGTAGACACCATAGTTCTCGCTTGCACTCTGTGCAAATTGGAACATAATGGCTAAGGCATGTTAGAGAGTAAGAGAGAGAGAGAGAGAGAGAGAGAGGAGAGGAGAGAGAGAGAGAGGAGAGAGGGAGAGAGGGAGAGAGGGGAGAGAGGGAGAGAGAGAGAGGGGGTCGGGGTCGGGGTCGGGGAAGGGGGCGGACGGACGGAGGGGAATAAATCAAAGGAAAGCAAGTGAGAGGGAGGGAGATGAGGGATAAAACGAGAAGATGAAGATAGATGGAGCAAACACGCAGCCATTAGCCAGCCTGGCAGTCGCCTTAATAATATGTGGACGAACATAAACAAGGGCAGTAGCGTGACAATGTCGAGTTTTCACGTGAGCGACCTCTCAAACAAGATCCAGATGCAGTCAGTTGCTAGTCGCCTTCACCGGCCAGCCCGATTTTCCGAAAAATTGTCTACGCATCGTCAGTTATTGATACTTTTTTTTGAACACTTGATTTTTAGTGTCATGCCAGTGTTGGGAAATAACCAATGTGTTAAGGTTCTCTGGCTTGGAGCACCTTGCCAGAAAGACGTCCAGGATCCAGTGAGCGAGGCTTATGAAAAAGCCAGCCGAGCTAACGAAAACACGTGACGCGCGACGGGCGACACCATGGGTCAGTCGCTTTGCCCATGGCGCCGTCGTGAAGGCGCGAGGGCTGGCTGCCAACAGGAGCGTCCGCCGAGTGAGCACGAGCGGGCCCCGATTAGATAGAGGCCTGAGGTGTGTGAACTACGGAAACCTGTTGGATCCAGGGGTGCATCTGCGGACAGTCGGCGGCATTCTCTTTCATGCCATGTGTCAAATCCTGAAGACTCTTCCGTGATGATGGGAGATGTCGGGTGCATTCACGGCAGAGGGTTTTAATGAAAACCTTTAAGACTCGCGCTTTTCTTCAGTACGCCATGTACAAGTGACATTCTTTTCACAAACAGGGTGCAACTTTCTCAACACATCTAAACAAGTATTTGGTTCTCTAAGTTGATTTTTAATCTACAGCTTCCAAAGGTGTCATGCTATGGGTTAGAAGCGATGTGGGGGGGGGGGGGGAGGGGGCTCAAGCCTGTTCAGATGTATTGACCGTCTCTCCCATGCGACCAAGTACGCCCGTCATGACTGCCACATTTCAATAATACTGGGCACTGGAGCGCAGTGAGTTCACGGTAATGTAAGCGCTTGCGTCCCGCGAGAACTGATGTGGGGCAACGCTATAGGCTTGATTTATTTTGTTCGTAAGATATAATAGGGATCAGTGGTATTACCTGCCGTTCTCCATGATGACCTACCGGAGCAACAGACCCCGTCTTAATACATCGTCCAGTTTTTTGCCACCGCACGTGGCGACAGTGGCAGTAACAACGGCAATGTATTGATCAATGTAGCGTTTATTTACTTAAGTTGCATAATGGCGGCGGCTTGGCTTTGCGCTCTTTTGCAGATGAAATGTTCGAAGGCCTTCATGAACCCGTGCATTCATAGCTCGTCCCTCATCACCAGCTTGTGCTTGAACATGTTCTCCCGGAGGCCGAGCGAGTCCCAGAATTCAATGGCTTGCGGTCTCAGCTCAGTGACGGACGCCCAGTCGCGGTCGATGATCAGATAGTGCGGGTCGAACGGGTAGAAGAACTCCCAGTACTCGCGCCATAGGCCCGCGTCGATGCCGTGCACGTCGGGCGTGGGGTCGCCCGTCTTGGCGAACGTCACCCACATGTTCAAAATCTGTCGGATCTCGTTCACCAGCGGGTCGTTGGCGTCGTACAGCGGCGCCAGCTCATTGGAGAACATGAGCAGCAGCTCGTCCTTCTGCGAGACGCCGAGGTTGTGCGCGCCGGCGTGCCGGGCGAAGCGCGGGTGGCCCGGGCGCCAGTGCGCGGCATCCGCGCCAGACGGGTGAGCTGGCTGCAGGTCGCGAATGTGCATGCGGCCTTTCAAGTTCCACTGGTACACAAACACCTTGTGCGTTGAGTAGTGGGCATGCCACCAGGCGGCCTTCTCCGTGCAGTGCAGAAGCATGCGGTCCGTGAGGAGCTCGACCAGTTCGCTTGCAGTCCTGTCATCTATTGGCCGATCGCCAAAATAATGCTTTCTGATCTGCTCGCTGGTGGCTGCCGGGTCAGCGGCGGTTCGCGCAAAGTGCAGCAGCTGCGGCGCCAGCTCGGTGAAGCGGCTGTTGAGTCGCTCCAGCTGCTGGCTGTCGCTGAGCAGCGCGTAAGCCGCATCCGCTCCCTCGTCCCGGTTTGTGCCCACGATCCACGGACTGTGTCGGAAGTTGTTTTCGGTCATCAGCTCGCTGGGCGGCTTGGGCAAAAACGGCTCGGTAGCGTACGCGTCGATGACGGGCCCGAACGGCGCCGCGCCGCCCATCTGTCCGCTGAGGTGGGCCGTGGCGCGCGCGATGTCCTCGGCTGAAGCGTCGCGCAGGCAGGTGAGCATTGGGGCGCTGTCCCCCGTCGGGCAGGCGAGCCGAGCGGCCAGCTCATGGCCGTTGGCCACCGTCTCCGGCACCAACGCCCCCGGGCAGAAGGCCGTGCCACTCTGCGAGATGGCGCGCTCGAACAGGTTCTTGGCGCGCTGCGTCAGCTGCAGCATGTGAACCGAGACGGCGCCCGTGCCCTCGCCCATGATGGTCGTCAGGCTGCGCAGGCCGCCGAAGAACGCGATGTTGTTGTTGATCCAGTCGAGCGCCAGCACCTGGTCGTGCAGGCCCAGGTTGCCTGGCGCCTGCTGGTCGCCAGTCGAGAGAAACCCTGCCAACAGAGGGAAAGGGCCGGTTGACTCATAGGACGGGGACCGAACTGCGTGCTCAAATTTAGGGTCGTCAGCATCAGCACAATGTTGTTTTCTGCTCTGGGTCAACAAGGTAATTTGAAATGAAGTCAACTAGCCGGTGCGCCTGACACCGAAATTCACCTCCACGTGCAAGTTCTACCCATTCTCAGCATCTCAGGCAATCATATTTAAAAAAGAGATCTAATGCAAAATCTCTCAGCCATTCTGAAAATAGTGATTTTTTCTGATCTTTTGACCCCACCTGAGCGCGGCGGCGTTCAGAGGCGCTCACGCGTGGCAGTGACACCAGCAGTGATCGCGCCGCTGTCCGCGGCTGAGGACCACACACGGAGCGCACCGCCGACGGACCCCTGCCGCCGGGTGGCACTCACCGAACGCGCCCAGCCGGCTGTTGACAGTGACGAGTACCACGTCGTGGTCGAGCCAGTAGCGCGGCCCGTACCAGTGGCTGCTGCCACTGCCGCTCGTCCAATCGCCACCGTGCAAGAAGACGAGCGGTGCCGTCGGGTTGGCCGGCGGCAGCGAACTCGTGTATATGTTCAGGTAGAGGCACTGCTCGCTGCCGATGGCGCGCTGCTGCCGCTCGTCCCACTGCACGCATTCGGCGCCGTCGGTGGTGGCGTTCAGCACGCCCTGCCAGGGCCCGGCCGGCTCCGCGCGGCCGAACCGCTCCGTCACGCGGCCGTACGGCACGCCCAGGAACGCGTAGATCGTGCGGTTGTCGAAGGCGCTCTGGAGCAGCGTGGGGCGCAACTCGCCTTGCGGCACGCGCACTGTCGGCACGGCGGCGTCCTGCGCGCCAGCCGGCGCCGCCAGCGGCGCCAGCAGCGCCAGCAGCGCGGCGGCACACCACGTCATCACGCTGGTCTGGACAGCCGCGCCTCGCGCCTCGCGACAGCCTGCTGCACAGTCCCACTGGCTGGTGCTTAGCTCTCTACCGCGTAACGCTCAGCCTTACTCACTGTCCGGTGCTCTGTTCTCCACTGTGCGGCGCTCTGCCTCTACTGTCCGATGCTCTGCTCTCCACTGTCCGGCGCTCTGTCCTCCACTGTCCGGCACTCAAGCTTCCACCGTCCGGCACTCAACCCTCCACCGTCCGGCTGGTAGTGGTTCCGAGCGGCAGCCAACTGGGGCCGTGTGTGCCGACCACTGCTCACGTTCCACGTCGCCGTGCAGCAGGCGCCGGCGGGGCCGGCCGCGCCGCAGCGCTCATCTCGCTGGCCAGGTCACTGAACCCACGGTGGCCGGGGGCCGGGCAGCTGGGCTCACCTCTAGCACGGCGTCCCAGCGAAGAGGTGCGGGCACACCGAGCCGGTGAGTCGCTGCTGACCGGGCACTGCCGGGAAGCAGGCCACCGCCCTCGCACGGCCGGCAGGACGAGACGCGGATCAATCCGTGAGGAGGAGGTTTATTGAAGGCATATCGCACTGCAAGCCTGATGGGGCTCTGTCAGTCCACGTGGCTCTGTTCATAGTTGATGCATGGAAGGTTAGTAGTTTGGTCATTTCAATAAGCCTAGAAGCTCTTTCATTGATCAGATGCATGCAACAGGCTTTTCAAAAGCTGGTATAATGTCATTCCTTTGCAAGCTGTAGGGACTTCTGCACGATGGATTCAGCCTTTTCTTAGGGGCATTGCCATTGTATTACGATGGCAAGAACTCCACAGCGGACGCATGTACAACGAACACCAAATCAAAGTTTGATTGCAGATCGTGCAATTAGAATAAATCCACCATGTCATTGTGGTAGTAAAACGATTCGCTGGAACACAAAGCATAGTTGCACATGAATTGAAAAGACGCTTCTTTTTTGGGAGCCCAAAATATAACCAACGGACCGTTTCGCAAGTTGTCTTCAACTTTTTTTCGTCATCTGTTTTGGGCGAACCTATCTCCCAGCGCCCCTGCGTCAAAACTGGCATCGTATTAACGGATTAAATGCGTCTCCTTCAACCACCCACGGATGAAATGAACTTCTTCCTCACCATATGCTATCTCCGGATGTAACCGTTGCTTGGATTAAAAACGTACAATAACAAGCACGAGCATCTCAGCCATTCCAAAACCGTTCATCGTTCAGCGGAAACCTGTCGCGTGGCTGACGACTTGAAAGATCATCAATATGCTGAAAAATCCTAAAAGAATTCCCACAGTTTAGGGGGAACACCACCAAACCCAATTGCACGCGTTGAGCCTCCACAAGCGCCTGGAAGGTCGGTTGGATACTTGTCGCTCGGGTGGGGGGTTAATTTGACGTCCTGAGATCTCAGGAGCTAAGGAAGCTGGAGACACCAAACTCACAGGGTGTTTTTCTGTACGTAAACTCACTTGGTCAAACTGTGAGGTTACTAGGTCATGACCTTCGGGTCAAATAAGGTCAAAAAGGTCAAACCCGAGGTTGGCGTCCAAAGGACCACCAAAACCTAGATAACTGTTCCAAGCAAGGGGTCACAGGGTCATTTAGGGGCGGCGACTTTGTCTGACCTTTTGAAGGTCATGGTGACTAAAATCGTATAATACTGCTTTGAGTTTTACGTTTCAATATGCGGCAAAGGTTACGCTGGACAGTATGTTCCAAAGAGTAAAATGTTGACTTGGGTGATTTTAGGTCAGTGACCTATTATGACCTGAAAAAGTCCATAGAAGATGTATAGTACGGTTTCTGTTCTCAATAAATTCCAAATGAGCAACCGAAACTACCCCATGCAACAAGCCATGGAGTGCAAAAACAGGCTAGGTTCGACCTTGGTCCGGTCTTTACACCTGACCCTAGGTCAAAGTAATTTGTCCATTCAATTGTTGTGTTGCCTAAGGAAGAATGTTCGAGATGTATTGCATTGTGTAACACTCCGTTGTTGCAACAGATTGAACGATTCCCTAGAAAGTGGCTTCGCTGAATCCATGGTCTGACTTTGACCTGCTGTAGGTTAGTAACCTCAGAAGGCATATCTAAATGTTTGATACCAAACGATCCGCTATGCAACTGCCTACAGCTCTGCAAACTTTGGCGCGGCTTCGCCGCGCTGTTCGGAAACTATTCCGGAAAAACCTTCAGAGCGTCAATTTGACCCCCACCCAAGCACGTGTTAAAACAAAACAAGAATGAAAACGTGTGCCCTCATGAGAAAAAGCGATACCTTAATTTAACAAATCTCGAGATCCAGAGCCGAGTTAAAGTCAAGTCAGCTCAGCTCCTTGGGCATGAATTGCATGCTCTTTCGATAGCGCTACATATTGTGTTTTGTGATAGCCTGGCCAGTGTTCATTGGTTTGGAAGATGTAGCACATCTTATCATGCATAACGAAGTCGTACCCACTTATTTGTCACAGATAGGCCGTGATAATCGCTTGCCTCAAGCTTACGCGCTCAAGCTTACCCATAAACTGGCCTTACATGACCTTTGTTGGGAGCCTAGTAGAACCTTCTACGATGGGACTGGCTTTGATCTGTGTGCTGATGAATGCAGCCGAATCAGTAAATAATTTATACTAAAACAACCTGAGACAAAGGAAGTAACTTTTCGTTATTCCTCTTTGTAGCGCGCTTAACCGAACGGCCCTGCGCTGATACCGTCAAAACTGTGATTGGGCCTAACATGGATGTAATTGTTCTCCAGAATGGCTGAAACTAATCGAATGACAGTCCCAGATGCGTGATGCGCTCACCTGGAATGGTTCTGAGACTGTTCTAGGAGATCGGAGGTGAACTTCGTCTAGGCCTCAATCGGTTGACTATTAAAATGGTATAGTCGTTAGTTTCATGTGCCGGTTTAAAAAAATGAGTGGTGAGTTGTCTTTACAATTTAAGATGCGTTGTTGGAAACATGCCCCATCATGCAACTCGACATTGTGCCCGCGTCTCAAGCCATGCTGACTATTTGCATCCATCAGCGCACATTCTGGCCGTCATGTAATCTGTTTCATGTTATCATACGCAATAGGAAAATACTGAAACCACCTGCTGTTTTTTGTTGTTTTTTCTGCTGCGTTAACAGTGGATTTCTACCAATGGCTGATGGAAAACTAGGAGTGTCGATTTGTATAGATTTGTGAGTGTCCTGACCTGACCCACCCAACGTTCATCTGGCCTCCATTGTTGCTTCGAGGCCCAGCATTTATTACTGGCACGTCACACAACACAAAAGTATTGTAAAATTTAAGTATCACACAAGGCCTGTATTTTTGGGGTCTTATTTGTTAGTTATAATGAGCGACTACTACGCTGCTCCAATGCAAGACCATTTGATGAATAAAACTAAACTAACGGATTACAAGTGTTTTTTTCTAACGAAGTCGGCTGAATCCGCTGGGGAACACACATTTGGAAGGAAGTGAAGCTGGTGGGCACTGTCCCCCCCCCCCTCCCACCACCAATGGCCAATCATATACACGAGTGAACGCGCCTGGGGGCGACAGTTGTTACCGAAGTTACCGAATGTTGTTATGTTGTTGTGTGTTACAGATGTTATGTTGTGTGTGTGTGTTGTTGTTGTGTGTTGTGTTGCACCGAAGAGCTTCCAGGAAGACGAGACTCTCAAAGGGTAACGGGGTCGCCGTCGGCGCGGTTGGATCAAAGCCGCTATGAGGAGCTGATGCTCATTGAGCTCCGCCTCACGATAGTCACGACTCGTCTCTTAATCCTGTCGATGCCTTTTCGCAGCTCGCCTCAATGACAGCCACAATTACGTTATCAAATGTCATTGTCTGCAAGACGGCGGCTCACAAAAGCAAAGTCCGTCTCCGTCCCGACAGGCACTCATTACGTTAAGGCCGTCTAACGACTGATCTCTTTTCAGCCACCAGTTCCACATGGCCTGCGTTGACCCTTGGCTGTTGAAGAACCACTCATGTCCAATGTGCAAGATGGATATTCTGAGATATTACGGCCTGGTAAGAAAGTGACGTTGCATTGCACTTGGAATCTTCATGCTGTGTATCACAGATGTTGTGAATAGACTTCAGCTTCAATACTCAAATTTGTCATCCAGTGGCGACACTGCGTTGACTGCTGACAGTTGATGGGGCTAGCCTTGGTCTGGCGCGCTGTGCATTTTTTTCGGAATGTGTGAGTCTATCATCTTTTTTGCCTGGTATCCATTTCATAGTGTGTTATTCTTTCGAGTCGCTTGGCCCCGTAAGACCTGTGACAACCTGGACAAGTATGTTGGTTTTACCTGGCTCGCAAAATACGTTGGCTTACCGACCAATCCAATGTTCATTAGAAATGGGCTGCATAAATAATTCGGCAGCTCATGGATCAAAGTGAAGGACGCAGCTTGGAACTTCTCTATCTAAGGGTGTTTGATTTGAAAAATATCTTTGAATGTATGAAAAGTGATACCAAAAATAGGCCACCTGTGCGCCATCTGGTAAGTACTGTTGTAGATTGCTGGACATTTGGATTGCGTCTTTTACGCAATCATTGTGGTTTGGGAAATCGAGAAGCAGGCCTCCGTCCCCGCACTCAGCGACTGAATACGCCATTTGCGATACACTAGTAGCCGGGGAACGTGCTGGTTATTCTGGAATTCGGAGAGTGCGTTCGCGTTCCGGGGGCTGCCTTGAAGACGTTTTGAGGGGGGGGGAGGTGGACATTGATTATTAGAAGAGAAATGTCCAAATGTTCTAAGATATGTAACATAACGAAACTGGTAAATGCATGTCACTTTATGCATATCACGGCCCTTTTAAGATCGACACTGTAGATGAAACACCCTGTAGAAGCACAGACCATTCACTAATGCTGGCCCCGGGTTTTTCCACTGACGGCCCTCCGCCTCCACTCTGTGGCCTGACGCAACATTAACGGAATCTTTCAGCCAAAAGCTGCTAACATCTGGACTCGTTTTAAAAACGTAGCTGTTCTACCTAGAGCGGCCGAGGTGATCTTGCAGGAATTCGTGAGGGATGCCGTTAGCATGTGCCCATATGGTGCCGGGGTGTGAGTTAACCCCTCCCCCCACCGTCTGCAGTGTTGCAACCGCGACCGCCTGCGAAGTTGCATCTTCCCCAGCAATTTCCTAACTAGTTACTGGATAGTAGAAATTGAAACAATCGGTATCCATGGGAACGGCATCTCACAACGCTGTATGTTGACCTCCACCACTTGAACGATGACGTCCAGGTTTTCAACACTGTATAGTAGCTCGAGGCACCCTGGCAAATGTAGTAATGGTCGCAAACCTGTGCGCCGGGCCACAAACAGGGGAGCGCTTCCCTGCGCGCATGAAAGGTGCCGTAACATTTTGGGAAAAAAAACTTCAAGGATCATGGTCAGCTCCATGTCAGATGAAGCCAGCTGATTAAATATGGTCAGCTGATTAGATGTGTTCTGCTCTCCCGAATCCCATCATCCAAGGTGTCTGATAGGGATCCGATCATTGGACATTGCTAGTTTGGGAGTATTTATCACAAATTGACCGCACAAATCACTTTGGTTCTGCACAAAGAAGAAGTCCCCCATGACCTAGGTGCCTTCGCATAATTTTGTATATTAAGATTATCCCTGTGCATGTAGTACGATGTAGCCGATCGGTGCAATGCTACTTTACATTAAAAGCATCTGAGAAAAACGCGAATTTCTGCGTGCAAAGGAGACGAGGCAGGTGAGCCTGCACTGGTCATCTGGTGGCGGATCGGCCAGTCAGATCGGAATGTTCCCACAAGGTCTGGCGACGCTCACCATGTGATAACCTGTGTGCTCACCTTGTATTGATAACCTGCTGAACGTGGCTGGAGTGGTGTGGAAGTTATTTTAGAAATCTGGAACGGCGAGGCGGCTGACTGGTGTGTACTTTGATGAATCTAAGAACAAACTGACAAACAAACCGTAGTCGGCAACCGAAACCGTAACCGAACAAACAAACCGTAGTCGGCAAAATGAGGCGTACCTTCCCTCGGTGCCCCCACCCCTACCCCACGCTGAGTGAATCCGTCCCTCGGATGCTTGTGACCCAGAGCGTCGCGCCGCAGACTGTGGTGACCGGAGAGGAGGGCAGACCGCAGCTGGAGGTGCAGGACGAGCCTCCGCCACCGCCACCGCCACCGCCACCGCCACC